TGTTACGAATTTCTTTCCTAATGAAATCAGATGATCTCTGCTATCATCATTAAGAAATACTCAAGTACATTACATTCTTGCATCTCACTCCGTCTGAGATACTTAACGGATCGTAGAACACCCTGCCCAGTCGCTTAACATTTACTACCGCGGCGGGTTGGACGTTTTAACTTTCCGTCCCCACTCCTCAACTTCATATGTCACCTTGGTCATGCTCATCGAATGCATGTGTTTTTGATCTGGCGGAACACATCTGCGCCTCCAACTTTGGGGTGACCTCTGATCTCTCGAGCTGAATGCATTAGAGCGCATGATCATCTCTAGAACCAAGAGTTTCGGGCGATCAGTCGCTCTCTGCGGCCGGGGGCACGTCGCCAGCGCCACCGAAGCACAAACCCATTAATCATGGGGGATCAGAAGTCTCCATGACACGACACGCCCTGAACGCAAACGCCATTCAAAGCCAGTCAGCTTGGATAACAAACATGCATACGCAGTCAAGGAGAATTGGGGAGTACCAACGACAAGAGAGTCAAGCATACTGCCATTGAGACTACTGGGACTACTGAGTTCAATGTTCTGATTCTGGTCTAAATAAGCCAGGACGGGTAATAGAAACGAACCTAGGATACAGCAGGCCGTGTCATTTTATCACAAGAAGGAAGGCATAATCGATTTGTCTGGATAAATGTGTGATTAGTGTTGGTCTTTGTCCCGGCCTCATGTTCTGAATCCTGTAGTAGAGCCATTCCCAGTCAAGACTCGACTTCAAACATTAGGGAAACATTGCCAAAATTGGAGATATATTGTATTCAAGACAGTAAACAATCGAGGGAATGGCTCACTAGATTCTCATGTTAGCTTCTTCCTCCCAAATTCGTATAGCGACTCACCTAGTTCAATCTGCTGCGCATCAAGACAGCCATCCCCAAACCTCTCACTTGTACTCAAACTCAATCCCCATCACTTTCAAGCAGCATCCTTATCCATCTCAACAAACACCAACTCATCCGGAATATCCTGTCCCCTAGTCTTCTCCAAAGGAATTGTCGACGTTTCACCCGTCTTGACATAACCCTGTCTCTCATACCATTTGATGAGCTCCTCTCGCGTGATCAGCGCATTCAAGCCGAACTTGGTAACGCCCATCTCCCGAGCAAGATACTCTTCTCCGTACGCGAGAATCTGTCTTCCCAAGCCGCCACGGTGCATGTTCGGGTCTACAGCGAGTAAAGCCAGACGGCCGTAACCGGGGCTGCGCTTGAAGACTGCGACGCAGCCTACTGCGGGGCCATCTTTGGTATCGCTGGCGATGAGGATTTCTCCATCAGGGGATGTGATTCTGTCGAGAACTACGTCAAGTTCAATACTGAAGCTGGCTGCAAGTTCTGGGGATCCGACCCAGGTGTTGTTCTTGTCCAGAGCGCGGAATGCAGACTGGATAAGTTCCTGAAGTCGTGGGGCGTCGTCGGCGGTTGCGGTGCGAAAGTGGAAGTTGCTGGACATTTTGGAAGATGTTGATTCGTCGATGAGTGTATGTAAATAAGTTACTATGCTTTGGATTGATCTGTGATAGTGCAATGCAATAGCTCAATTGGGATGTTCAACTATTTAAATACCTCACGCCCTGGAGTGGAATATCATCCGACATGTCTATATTTCCATCGAATAGGAAGGTCCAGAGAAGGGCGTGCTATTGACACAAAAGAAGACCAAAACATGTCATATTGAATGGTTTTTGAACTGCCGTTTAACCGGTCCGTTGTGAATTGACAAGACAAGGGCGAATTTATTGACGGCTAGGGCGCAGGCTGTGTTGAATAACGCCATAATATGCCCTGTAGTTCGGAGATAAGAGCCTTTGAACCAATAGTAAGCAATTAATTGCCTCAAAGTTCGGAGATCTAATCGCATCGACATATGTTTGATCTTGGGTCTTTTCTATATCTATATCATCAACAAATAGGAGCAGTTTTTGTTGACAATGAATATCCCGTGCCTCGATGTTCAAGCTAAGGCAAGACAGTTCCCAATGGCAGTCGTAGCAGCTACAAGCGAAACATATTACCCTGGACCACTAAGCCAACACCAGAATAACCAAGGTGTTATGCACAGGTCTGAAAGTCCAACTGCTGACATATCCTCTTATTTTATAGCGAGTTTTTTTTATCATATGTTTGGCTGGACTGTTCATTACTTAGAGAGCATATACACCACGTCTACTCTGCTAACCCGAGTTCCAATTCTTCTGGAAACCTCACCATCACGACAGACAACATCGCGAAAACCTCGATACTCATACAAACACAAGTTAGAATCCAATAAGCCCTTAATCATCCCCATTTCATTGCCAACCTCTTTACTTTCACCTATAGCTATCCACATTTCCTCACAATTATAGCGTATGTCAACCAGTCGCTGAAGCGATACGATGCCACGATACCACAGCCCTCAAAACTGGAGAATACATGTCAAGCGACCGAATTATTGATGTCGGTGAGTATCCCTATCATATCACCCTCGGTTCAATTTTCGTTCCCCCACGTAAGTCTTATGCACTTTTGTTTTCGTACATCGGATTTCCCTTTTTGCTCGTGTTACATATCGGGTCGGTTCCGCGGGGCCGTGGAAGACCCCGACAGCTTCATAGCCGCGCTCGCCTTGTAGGCCCAAGATTCGCCTTTCCTTTGGTTGCAGACGGTTTGCAATATATGTGATTGAAGTCAGTTCAATCCAATTGATGCATGTGAATTGACCTTCACATATAGATTGATTCAATTAATTACCTTGAAAGGGATTGCTTTCAAGATTGTAAACAGTGACAATGAATTCCCATTGCTTATCTACAGCAACCCTCAATCAAGCACAGCCTGCGACGATCATCTTCCTCACAAGGGTTCACCAACCGCTCTCCTGTGAGTCAGAATTTAGTACATTGCCCAATCTCCTTCAGATCCAATTCAATTCGACAACACGCGATTGCTCTATCGTGTATGGACAATCCAAGACGGTGACCCCGGGTCGGCCTGTCTCACGCCATTAACTTTCGGGTCCACGGGCCCATGGAAATAAACCCCCAGTAAAACGGAATGCGCTTAGCGTCGTATCCCCCAAAATCCAACACACTGTACAGCTCCCCTCCTCCATTATAAAACAATCCCACATCTCACCTTCAACCTCCCTCTCTTTCTTCTCTCCAACCTCAACCCGGACACTCAATTCCTTGTCCGCCCTCTTCTTCCCCTTTTCTTAGCCTAAACGGCCTCTCTGCAAACGTAGGGGAGGCCGCCGCCCCCTTAACTTGAATCAATGGCAGCAACGGGATCAAGCTCCGCCTGCTGCGTCCGCAACTCGGCCATGTCCTGGTAGTCTCATCAGTGCCCCGGCGCCAACCGGTGATATCAGTGACTTTGGGCTCTTTGGCGACAATTCCCCATTCTTGGATCTTCTCCCTGTGCAGTACGACTTTGATGCGCAGGCTATTTATCAGGACCTTGATGATGCGACGTGGGACTTTGGGAACAACATCGATACGCAGACAAATACGGGAGGTGGACTTTTTGATCAGATTATGATTCCTGATATGAACGTCAACTTGGATACGCAACCGCTCGACATTGGAGATGGCTTCCTCTCTCAGGAGCAGCCTGTTCTGACCATCAACTCTTCACCTCTCGAGCAGACCTCCAAGTCCAGCACTCCTCTTCCCACAGCCACCACCAACAAGTCCCCCTCCGCATCTTCCATCCCAGGAACTTCCACCTTCTCCCTGCACCCCTCTCCATCATCATCCTCTGGCTCTTCCCGCAAGCGCAAGTCTTCCCCTGAAGACGAGGACTCGGCCGTCACGCTCAAGCGCCAGCGCAACACCCTCGCGGCCCGCAAGTACCGCCAGAAGCGCCTCGACCGCATCTCCGAGCTCGAGGAAGCCCTGGCCTCCATGACAAGTGAGCGGGACGACATGCGACTCCAACTTGCGAGGAGAGAGGCAGAGGTTGATGCTCTTAGAGAGATGCTTGGAAAGAAATGAGATGGACAATGATCATGGAGACATTTCCAGGAATCAGCTCAGAGATTTCAACATACTGCATTATTACGATTGGCGACTCGGGGCGTTGTATAGGCTTCTAGATATGTTTACGAGTTAGCGAGACGCATTTCCTTTTGTATGAATCAAAACATTAATTTTTTTTTTGCCAACTCTTGAACTCCCTTGTGATCATTCTTGTAACTGGTGTATCTTCGGACGATGTCGTTCTCTTCCTTGTTTCGACTCATGCGACTCATGGGTGATGTCGTCGAATTCCGTTTCCTCTTCATAGATACAGTCATGGAGATGATTGAAATGGCGGTTCACTTACTTTCTTTACATCTTGAAGAATAACATCGTAGTCGATTACTCTACTCTGTTTCTTGGAGTCTGTTCATACCATTTCTATAATACATCTGCAACACTTATACACATCTCATTTTCACATCCTCATCCTCATCATTCCGCAGCTTCCGACTTCCCCTCAATCACATACAAAATCACTCAGGCTGAATATTCCCAGTTTCCTGATATCAACGCTTACATCTATATACTCTGAGCCATAATGAATCACTCTGACAAGTCGTGATACAGCCCAGTGCATCGCGATTACGCAAACACTGTAAAGACCCCAGACGAACCAACGGGAAGTGGGGCTTTGGTGGGGTCCACGACCTGATGCAGGATGAGCCAGAATGAGTCATTTTGAAGATTTCCTTTTTGGGAAAGTGCAAAAGTTGGGTTAATTTTGACGCTATCGCGACAATGGATACAGATTGAGCCATAGGTGAATGGCACTCATAACGATTGCTTTTATATCCTTTTACTTAGTAGTACAAGTAAAGAAGAGTAACTGGCGTTTATATGTCGTATCGTGTTGAGTCACCCTCAAAACCTCACCCAATCCAACCACCCTCTCTACTCAAGGACAAATACGACACGGCGATGACATCAAAGAGATCCTTCTCTCGTCAAGATGGCCGAGTGGTCTAAGGCGCTGCACTCAAGATCCTTGCGAGGTCTTTCCCATAAGAGATGGGACGCATTGCAGTATCGAAAGATTCTTGGGTTCGAATCCCAATCTTGACAAGGCTTACCTTTTGCTGGGTTCTGTTTTTGCTAGACATAAGTTCTGCACGACCAATTTACTCTCCAGCCGATTGTCCATCAGAGGGACGTGCCTGAAAGACTATATTCGGGTGTAGAAGATGCAGTATCGAGATGTGGACAGGGCCAGCGCGACATGTCTCTCCTCAGGAAAGAATATGCAAAACGCGTTGTGAGGACCCACTCGCTATTCAACAGCTCGAAACAAAGTCAAGGTGGACTTGAGCTAGGTAGGTGAACTGTCCGATTTTAGTGAAGTTATATCTAATAAACCTCTATGCTTTTGTTCTTACCTAGGTCATGATTCATACATCTATTATTTCCTCTCCTCCTTCTCCTTCCTCCATTGATCCACAACCCCCTGAATCACCTTATCAAGATCCTCATCCTCAAGGCCCAACTCTTTCATCGCAAATGCATCACCCCTCTTAGGCCAGTCCGCATCCAAAGCACCCAGCACAAACACAATCTCCTCCATCGCATGCTTGCTGAAGTTCACCGAAAGGCTGTTCACTTCCCTCTCAAGGAACGCCTTTGAATCCACAAACTCCTTCTTCCACTCGGCACCCGTGGCCTTTTCCAGTGCGGCTACCACCTCGAGCTGCGTCTTGCAGAAGCTCTGCACGTAGAGGAGACGGTTCTTTGTAGTATCGGGGCGCTTGAGGACGGCGACTAGGGCTTCGGCGACGCGGTGGAGTGTAGATGCTGAGGCGGGAACGTCGCCCTTGTCGAGGATGGTAGCGGTGTTTGTCTCGAGATCGGTGTGTAGTAGACCGTCGCGAATACCAAAGTCAAAAAAATGACCACACACAAGTGATGTCCATGAGAAACCGGAGTATTCACCCGCTAGCTCAATAGCCTTGGCCCTCACAAGATCCTTGTCACGGTATAGCTTAAGGAGCTTCTTTGCTTGGTCGCTCTGGGCATCACAGCTGCCGAAGTCGGCGGGTATGAAGCGCTTCACACCAGCCTTTGCAGAAGCTTCGGCGAGACGTAGATGTTGGTTTACATCCTGTAGGGGAAAAGAAGCGATAACGACATCTTGGTCTTTGAGAACGGGAATTAGGCCGTCGACAGAGAGGTCGTCGGGGATCGTGACGATGGAGACTGAGGAGGCGTGGGCGGGGGTTGACTTGGAGGATGCACGCTTTGCGACAGAGATATCGAAGGAGTTTGAGGCAACGAGTCCTTCAAGGAGAACTGTGCCGAGGTTACCGTTGGCACCGACTAGGAGGACTTTCTTGAGGGACATGGTTGCAGTGTTGATGCTGAATTGCAGAGAGAACTAGGTAGGTAGATAAAGAAGCTGAAGTACAAGCAAGCAATGATGTGATGCAACCGCGGGGTAGTCAATTGAATTCAGCTAATGCGGGGTAATATCGCGAATGTCTTGGAGCTGTCACTTATATAAACCTCGCTCCAAAAGATAGGAGCATGCAAGTGGTCGGAATGACGCTCCGATGCAGGAACCGGGATGTTAGTCCGACGACGCCTTTTCGATATCGCGGTTACTTTCCACCGACGACCTTTATCTAGTATCTAGTGCGAAGCAATAGGAAAGCCACAGCGAGCATTCCCTTCTGAATAACGGCCCACTACCAAAGCTCTCTCCTTGCCCTGAACCTCAGTGATCCACCGTATACTGGGATAAACCCAAATTGAGCGAGTGAATAAGGACTAAGGAAGTATTATAGATCTGGGAAACCCCTTTTATAAGACCAGAATCCGTGATTCTTTGTCTGTTCGCACATTCTGAGTTTCCCGAGTGCGTACGCTATAGTCGTTACTCCTTGTCCGTCTCACTCGCCAAGATCTCGGCCTCCATGATCTCCGAGTTGGTCCGCGTCCGAATCTCTCGTCCGCGAGCGCACGGCTCTGAGCGCGATATCTCCGGCCGCGAGCCCCACAAAAGCCCGCCAAGAGGCCCGAAGCCTAGAGCTTGTTTAACGTTATCACTGTTGTCGTATGTGTAACCGAAAATCCATGTAAGGGGGGTCGATACTCTGCCTAACTTTAGGTAAGAGATGATAGAAAAAGTAGGCAATTTAGCAAGTCTTTTCGTTTAAAGTATGCTCTGGTTATTGTGGCAACCTATCTCAAAGTTAGGTAGAGTGTGGGTTCTTTACTGGACAGCCGCCTGCGATGACGGGAACAAGAGGGGGATGCTCAAACGTAACCCCTAAGCGAGTCCACGATCCATGTGTTGAGACCCATAATGGAAACTTCATCACCTCCTCGTAGACAGTCTCGCGTTGGTATAGATCCTTAAATCCGTGCATCGCACAATTGTTTGTTACGTTTGCTCGCTTCACCATGATGTTGTCGTTGTACGGGGGTAACTGCAGCGGTTGCACTTGCAATTGTGAATCATTCCACAGGCAAGAGGCCAAGTATAAAGGAAGGAGCTCTCTCCCTTCATCTCAGTATCTCAAACTCAACAAATCACTCCAACTCCAACTTCAACTCCAACTTCGACTTTGGACCTCAGCACTCTTCCCCTGAACTTGACACATCATGGCCGAAAACAAAGAAATCGTCCTCATTACCGGTGCCAACACAGGCATCGGCTTCGAGACCGTCAAGGCTCTCTTCCACTCTTCAAAGGCCTATCACGTGCTTCTCGGAAGTCGGACTCCTGCCAACGCCGACAAGGCCATCGCTGAGCTCAAGAGCGAGATCCCAGACTCCAAGAGTACTGTCGAGCCTGTCCAGATCGACATTACCGACGATGAACAAATCAACAAGCTCTTTGAGACTGTAAAGTCCAAGTTTGGCAAGATTGACATTCTGGTCAACAACGCTGGTAAGTAAGGTGGCGTTGAGAGTCAACTTACGGCTAATCGATGTTGTAGGCGCCAACTTTGAGTCCTTCAACAACAACGATGCTGGTGATCCTGCCAACGCTCGCCAGCTTCTCAACAAGTCATACGACGTTAACGTCACGAGCACCCAGGTTTTCACTGCTACCTTTGTCCCTCTGCTGCTATCTTCTTCTTCCCCGCGCCTCCTCTTTCTCACCTCGGGTCTATCCACTCTCAAGGGCGCTCGCGACTCCTTCTTGACAAAGCTCGCAGGCGACATCCCACATGGCTGGCCCAAGACGGGTATCCCGACCGCCATAGCATACCGATCAGCCAAGACGGCGCTCAACATGGTGATGCTGTCGTGGTATCATCTCCTCAAGGGCGATGGAGTCAAGGTATGGTCTATCAGCCCGGGCTTCTTGGCCACTGGGCTAGGAGGAAACCCTGAGCTGCTGAAGAAGGTTGGTGCTGGGGATCCAGCCACTGGAGCGGATCTTATCAGGAAGGTTATCGAGGGAGAGAAGGATGCTGATGTTGGAATGGTTGTTGGACAGCCTGGAGTGCAGCCGTGGTAGAAACTGTCCTACCAGGGATAGGGGCATGTCATACTTGTGACAGGGCTGCCCTCAGAACGAGGGTAGAAGGCGAGTCGCAAGAAGAAAGAAACTACAAGACCACTTGACAGAAATACATAGCCAGTCTTAGACTGAGATCGCCCTGAGAGTGGTGTGATGTGATGGTCAAAGTCCCGGTTATTTTGCGACCGACCTGGGTAGTAAGGAGATTCAGAGAATAGCAACGAATTTGGTCGATCGCATTGACTCAGTGCCATCGTGACGCTAACGTGGGAATCCCTTCATTAGTGACAGCGCAACTGGCCAAGCCACATTGATGATGTATTGATCTCGACATTATCTCCGACAGTCAAAATGCCGAATGAGCTCTGGTCATTGACAACTCATAACAACGCGCAACGATCATGTTAAACGCCACGATACGAAAGAGGAAAAGAAAAAAACTTATCTAGACGCAAGTCTCTTGGCAGTTAATGCGTCTCAAGACTACGTCATTGCACCCTTTGACACTCGTCAAGCTCAGCCTTGTAGTAATTCGTTGGTGGAGTTGTGATCTGGGATGGCCCATGTAAGATCAGGTGCGGTGACGGCGTATTGGGACTTCAGAGGCACAAGACCAGTTTCTAGGTCAAGACCCTTGCAGACGCGTAGTAAGAAGCAGGGACGGATAGATGTGGGATATAATCGTATCCTATTGATCTGAGAATAGAATAATTTACCGTTGTAAGTGTGGCTTGCACCAAGGATGGGCTAAGATGACGAGAGACAAAAGATGACCCAAGGACAGTGCGTGAACCGTCAACACTGTGTATCGTTAGTAAAAGAGTCGGTGGCTTACAGTGCAAGTTCGCCTCCGTGGAGTGACCCGCGGGTCCCTTGCGGGCCTTTCGGCCCCGGCAAAGCAACCCCTGATCCGCCAAGTGACGTCGGCAGTGCGCGGGCGTGTGCGTGTGCGTGTTGCCGGGACGCGTCTCCACAGCCCGCCCGGCCGCCTTTTCTGACTCGGAGGTAAAGAAGCGAGAAATACGTTTCACAAAAAAGCCCAGCCTTATTAAACAAAGACAGGTCCGGTATCACGGAATGAACAATGCAGCTGACAAGTAAACAAGAAACATAAAATGATATGGGCTGAGAATTGTCTCGGCGCATAGAGAAATAGAACATCTAGAACGCTAGAATGGACCCTGCCAAGTGCTGTAGAATAGGCGGCCGTTTTTTTCTTCTGCCAGGCACAGCCCCCCCCTACGGCTGAGCTGACGTTGGGTTTTCGCCGTCGCTCTCGGAGACTCGCTCTCATTCTCAGCTGCACGTTCTAGTTGATGCAAGGCTGATCCTTCCTGTTCCTTTTGCATTCGCGCCAAGATATCTGGATTCCTTATGCCACGTCGCAGCTGGTTAATTCTAGACTGGAAAATCCCATATTAGTCGCCCATTTTTCCCTCGCTGCCCAGCCTGGACCAACAACGTATCTGATCTGCCTACCTAATATCCGTAACTTGACTTGCCTTGACTCAGACCTAATTGATACCCCAGCTTTTATTTCATTTCCTTTCAACTACCCTGTCAGCACTTTCTTTTTGTTCTATTCTGAGTTTTTACCTCA